GGGTCGAATGAAACGCTTTGATTTGGGGGGGGGGTAAAAAAAATAAAATAGGAGATTGTGATCGGAATTGAAATTTCAATTTTCTTGACCATGGGGGGTGGGGAGAGACAAACAATTTGCTGAAATTGACACAAATTCACAAAATTTCTCCATCAACTTGAATCTGCAATTTTTGGTGAACATTTTTGCCTGGTTCTAGCCGGGATTCCAAGGCCCCCAGCCCCAGCCCACTCAGGTTCTCTCCCCGGCTCCGGGAAGGGAGCGGGATCAGGAGGGTTAGAAGTAGGGGGGCTGGAAGCCAGGATTCCTGGGTTCTATCCCCAGCTCTGGGAGGGGATCATCACAGTCTTCGTAAACCAGCGTTTCTCAAAGGCATCCACCACGTTTTTTTTCCTGCAGCCATGACAGACACCTGGGCAGATATGGGGGAGGGGGCAAAGCAGCACCCCCTCCCTGCAGCACCCAAGGGCTGTGGGGGCAGGGCTCAGCACTTCCTGTCTGGCTTCAGCCCCCCTCTCCTGCTTCAGCCAGAGTCTCCGCTGGCAGGCATTAATCCCCCCACCCCCTCCAGCTGCGCAGTTCCAGGGGTGGTCTTAACCCTCCTCCTTCAGCCTTGGGGCTCTGGCAGTGGGCTCCTGCCTCCCCCCGCCAGCTATTGGGCTCTGGGCTTCGCCCCCTTCCCCCGGATCCAGCCGTAGGGCTCCAGCTCTGGGTTTCAGCAGGGCCAACCTTATTGGGCGCCATGGTCAAAGGGCACAGAAGGGAGCTCACGGCAATCGGGGGGAAAGCATCAGGCCCGGGGGGATCCGTCAGGGCAGGAGGGAGGCAGCAAGGGCCAAGGGCACCAAAATACTGCTGTACATTCATTTCATTATTGAGTCTGCAAAAAAGACCCTACATAAATAAATGACAATGGTTCAGACGTGTATCTGTGCACATTTGTTTGTTTTCCCTACAGTTAATTAAGAATTATACAAAAAAAAGGGTCAGAGCGGCCACCAGCAAAAGTTGGGGTCAGCACTCTGAGGCCATCCAAAAAGTGTGTTGTGAGAACCACTTCCTAGACTCCTAAGCAAGCCTACTGCACATACAGAAGGAACTGTTGTGAAAGGAGCCGCTCAGGTGGACTGGAGATACATGGAGAAACATCGCCCCCTACTGGTGGACACTGTACTACAGCAGGCACTTTAAGAACATAACAACGGCCCTACTGGGTCAGACCAAAGGTCCATCTAGCCCAGTATCCTGTCTACTGACAGTGGCCAGTGCCAGGTGCCCCAGAGGGAATGAACAGAACAGGGAATCATCAAGTGATCCATCCCCTGTGGCTCATTCCCAGCTTCTGGCAAACAGAGGCTAGGGACACCATCCCTGCCCCACCTGGCTCATAGCCATCGATGGACCTATCCTCCATGAATTTATCTACTTCTTTTTTGAACAGTTATGGTCTTGGCCTTCACAACATCCTCTGGCAAGGAGTTCCACAGGTTGACTGTGCGTTGTGTGAAGAAATACAGTACTTCCTTTTCTTTTAAACCGGCTGCCTATTAATTTCATTTGGTGACCCCTAGTTTTTGTATTATGAGGAGTAAACACTTTCTTATGTACTTTCTATACACCAGTCATGATTTTATGGACCTCAATCATATCTCCCCTTAGCCATCTCTTTTCCAAGCTGAAAAGTCCCAGTCTTATTAATCTCTCCTCATACGGAAGCCGTTCTATACCCCTCATCATTTTTGTTGCCCTTTTCTGAACCTTTTCCAATATATCTGCTTTGAGACGGGGTGACCACATCTGCACACAGTATTCAAGATGTGGACGTACCATGGATTTATATAGAGGCAAGATGATATTTTCTGTCCTTTATCTGCCCCTTTCTTAATTATTCCCAGCATTCTGTTCGCTTTTTTCACTGCCGTTGCACATTGAGTGGATGTTTCAGGTTACATCAGTGAGCAATGACCCCGGAGTACTCACCAAGCACTGAGATGCTTCCACCTCTGAGGAGGGGCAGCTGGGGAACAGGTGCGGGGTGACGTTGCACCAGGAGGGCTCGCCCGGCACTGAGATGCAGCCGCTTCTGGGGCAGGGCAGCTGGGGGACAATCTTTGCACACAGAGGCACATACACCGAGCGCACGAGAATCAAACCTTTTGCAAGACACGGGACATTTTAAAAAAGTGCTTTGTTTATCCTTTTTATTACAAAATACAAGTCAGGCCACGTTACATTCAATCGCCAAGGCAACCGGGAAATGTCACTCCACATTGCAGCTTAGAGGTTAAGAATTAAAACAAAGAGCTAGGGCAAGAACCCAGGCGTCCTGATCCTCTGCCTGGTTAATGGGGACAGCTAAAATCTGGCTCATGCTTCCGTCAGTCAGACCCAGCTTGGCAGAGGGGCAAGGAGGTCAGAAACCCTTCTCTGGCTTGCCGTGGGGGGTTAGGTCAGTTGACACCCCCCCATCCGCACGGATCAGGGGGTGGGGTATGAGGGGGTGGGGTGGGCCAAGGGGCAGCCAAGGCCTGGGGGTGAGGCCCCCACTTGGTACAACGCAAGCAGTGTGAAAGGCCGTGCTAAGGCTGGGGGCTGATGGGGAGGGTGATGGAGGAGAGGCGCCAAGGACAGCAGTGGAGCAGGGGCTGATGGGAGTGGGGGGAAAGCAGGCGCAGGGGGGTGCAGAGCAAAGGTGCCCGCAGTGGGCCATGTGGAATGGCGCCCCTCCTGCCAGTCGGCTGGGGGATGGAGAGGGTCAATTGACGGGGGGACACAGGGTTTGAATGGGATCATGATTAAATACTGAGCCCCGGGGGGTTAAGGCACAAGAGACATGGGGAGGTCGGCCTCCCCTCAGAGCTGGGGAGAGAACCCAGGAGTCCTGGCTCGCTGGGGGGACAGGAGGCCTATCCCAGAAAAGCCACCGTGCTGCATTGGCACTTACCTCACTGGCAGTGTGAACAGAGACCGACCCCACCCTGCCCCCTAGAGGGAACCTCCTGTTAAGGCAGTGATGGGGCACTGTGAGCGGGGGAGATCGGAGGGCACCCCTCCCCCCCGGCAAACAGCGACCCATGGGCCTGGGACACCCCAATACCCTCACTGTGGCATGGAGTCCCCCACCCTGAGGAGGGGAGTTGGGGAGAGCAGCAGGTACACAGGAAGTGGCACCATGAGACAGGAAGTGGGCACAGCTGGCAAGGGGGGCGGGGCACGGACCGTACCAGAGAGAGCAGGCCCGCCCGAGACAGGACGTTGATGCCAGAGGGGAGGGGCCGGGGCACAAAAAGGAAGTTGGCATTACCATAACAGGAAGTAGAGACTGAGAGCAAGAGGCGGGGCCCACAGGGAGCTGATTTTCCCAAAACAGGAAGTAGATACTGGCAGGAGGGGTGATGAGACAGGAAGTGGGCTTGGCCAGGTAGAGGTGGGGTTGCTCAGTGCATGAAGTTAATGCTAGTGTGAGGGGCTTTGCCACGCAAAGTGGCACTGCCCAAAACAGGAAGAGGCTCAAAGGGGAGGGACAGAGCCACAGGAAGTGACATGGAGGATGAACCGTCAGATCAAAATGCCACAAATTCACAGACCTCAGAAAATCAGAGGCTCTTCAGGGCGGATCTCACCCCAACCCCGAAGGCAAGAGATGCGAGGAGTCCATAGAAATCGTTCTGGACGGGAGGGGGCTGGCTTGTGCTTAAAAAGCAGGATTTAAACCCGGCGTTCGCTCCGGCCGTCAGTGCATAAACCTCCCAGCAGGGGGCAGTGGTTCTGCTGGAAGACGGGGCCGTGCTCACGAATCCTGAAAGGCCGAGAATATAGCTGGGGTTACAAACTCAATATGGGCCCACCCAGCCCCAGCATCCCCCACATCTACACCAGTGGTGTGTGCTGAGGGGTGACTACGCCCCACAGTACTTACCAGAAAGCCCCAGCCCCACAGCAGGGGGAGAGGGGGTGGAAACCGGACGCAGGTCTAGCCGGTGGCGATGGCCACTCCGATGATAATCACAACGATGACGACGGCGACCGAAAGGCAGATGATGATCATGAACTTCTTCTGCCGAGCCAGGCACAGAAGGTGAAAGCGTTAGTGGGCTTCCCACCTTCCACAGCTTAACCCACTAGACCCCACTCCCCTCTCAGAGCTGGGGATAGAACCCAGGAGTCCTGGCTCCCAGCCCCCTCTGTTCTAACCCACTAGCCCCCACTCCCCTCCCAGAGCCAGCAAAAGAACCCAGGAGTCCTGGCTCCCAGTCAACAGTGAGGTGTACAGAAAGTGGGATGTGGGTCCTTTCTCCTGGAGGGGCGCTGGTTCTGATCCGGCTGCTAAACCAGGGGTCGGGGGGTAAGACTGGTTTGCTCAGTGGGGCGGGAAGGGAACATCAGGGGACCCACCTTGCGGGCTTTCTTCTGGCTCTCCCTGGCCGAGCTGAGATGGACATGTCCCTTCTTGACGTAATCCTCCGAGTCCAGGATGTTCTTCTCAATCCGGTCGATCATCTCCCCCTACAGCCCAGGGGAGAAGGAGGTAGTTGTGATACCCTCCGCTGGTCCAGGATTCGGGGAACAGGGAACAAGGGTGAGAGACGGGGGAGTGTGAGGCGGTTGAGCTGAAACGAAGGGGAGATGGACAGGGCTATGGGAGGAATGGGGCGGCACCTACAGGAAGCGGCCCTTCCCCCCACAGGAAGTGGCCATTGGCAGTGCGGGGCAGGGCACACAGGAAGCGGCCCTGCCTAAAACAGGAAGTGGATATTGGCTAGAGCGGGCAAGTGGCAGTGGTGGCTGGCAGGAGAGGTGGGCCCACGGGAAGGAGCCAGCTGCCCAGAAGAGGGAAAGCTGTGCCCCCGGGAGGGGGGAGGGTTCTGGGCCCCCCCATACCTGCAGCTCCACCTCGGTGGCGAGGTAGGTGAACATATCGTGCAGCTCCTGGATGCTGCGCTCCAGCTTGAGGATCTCGTCATGCCGGGTCTCGATCTCATTCAGCGCCTGCTTGGTCACACGCGTGTCCTTCATGATCTGCCGGGGGGAGAGGGGGTCAATACCCCAGCCTGGCCTGGACAGACCCCGCCCCCCCCAATCGTTCCCACACACACATGCACACCCATCCCTGGCACTCACGTTAGAGACAAACACCTCCGTCTGGCCGCTCTCCAGCATCTGCTCCAGCTCTTCGTCCGAAACCACGCCGCCGCCGGCTGCCGAGAGAGTAAGGGGCTGGGTCGGCTCCCTTCCTTACTCACTAGACCCCACTCCCCTCGCACAGCAACAGATAGAACCCAGGAGTCCTGGCTCCCAGCCTGCCACATCCATTCTAACCCACTAGACTCCACCGCCCTCCCAGAGCCAGGGCTAGAACCCAGGAGTCCTGACCCGGGTCTAGTGATGCAACCGGACCCCTAAGCCCAATGTCTCTATATTTGATCAAAATCGGGGGCCAGTACTGTAGTGCTCTTGCCCCATTGACAGAATGGATAAAGACACCGACGGCTTGTGATCTTGTTAAGCTGCCCTTGGAAGCTCAGATCCTTGGGAGTTAAGCCCCGACAAATTACACGTGGAAAGGTGAGCGTATCTGGCGATCTTAGGGCAAACGGAGCTGAAAAATCAGCCCGGACAGTTCCGAGATTTCCCCCAAACACACCCAGCCAAAATAGGCACCATCCTCAGGTCTCAGCACGTTGAATTCCCACACGGCAGCGCCTGACGAACATGGCCCCACCCCGAGCAGGGCGTAGCGCAGGGTCGTCGGGGTTTGAAAAGGACGCTTGCTGTCTGAGAAGATACGCGCCGAGCAAGGTCCTGGCTGGGTCAATGCTTGGATGGGAGATCTCTGTCAACAGACCCCACTCCCCTCCCAAGGAGAACCCAGGAGTCCTGGCTCCCAGCCCCCCCTGCTCTAACCCACTAGACCCCACTCCCCTCCCAGAGCCGGGGAGAGAACCCAGGAGTCCTGGCTCCCAGCCCCTCCTGCTCTAACCCACTAGACCCCACTCCCCTCCCAGAGCTGGGGAGAGAACCCAGGAATCCTGGCTACCAGCTGCCCCTGCTCTAACCCACTAGACCCCTCTCCCCTCCCAGGGCCAGAGATAGAACCCAGGAGTCTCGACTCCCAGCCTCCCTCCCCCCTCTCTCACCCACCAGACCCCACTGCCCTCTAGAATCTGGGGATAGAACCCAGGAATCCTGGCTCCCAGCCCCCCTGCTCCAACCCTGGCCTCCCCAAGGTCATTGGAACAGGTTTATCATCCACCGATTGCCCTGCATGGATTTGACCCATGAATTCCAGCCCCCCTGGCTGTTATCCTTGCTGCAGACCTAAAGGAGGTGCTCCATTAGCTGGCAGCAGCAGTAGGCAATTAACCCATATCGATGAGCCACTAAAGGGGCACGTTCACTCTACAGGTTACATCCCGGGCCCCTCCCTAGGGATTGGGGGCAGGACTGTCCGGCCAACGCAGAATTCCAGTCGAGGATCTGCTCGGTCAGAGGGGCAGGACCCCTTGACCAATCCAGAACCCCAGCCAAGGATAAGGACCATCAAAGGGGCAGGACCCCTTGACCAATCCAGAGTCCAGGCTGATGTTCTGGACTGGCCGTGAGGCAGGATCTATGGCTCTAGACCGTCCTAGGGGCAGGATCCGGGGGGGACGGAGGGAAAGCCCCCAGGCTAGGCCCAGAGGCCGGCACTCACTGATCTGCAGCTGTCGGTGGATTCGCTCCACGTTGCGGTCCCGGTACTGCGACTGGATGGTGTTGCACTTGTTGATCAGCTCCAAGAACTGCTGGGACAGGATGCCGTGCTGGGAACGGGGAGGAGGGGGTTAATCGCGGCTCCTGGGCCCAGACACACACACACACCCCCTTCACACACCCCTCACCTGGGTTCTCTTCATCCGGGTGTTGATGGCGTTTCTGTTCTCGTCCTCCTCACCCTTCTTGGGCTCGATGGCTGGGGAGAGACTGGAGTTGATGGAGAGAACCCAGGAATCTGGGTTTCCAGCCCTGCCCCCACCCCACCTCCACTCCCCTCCCCGCCCAGAGCTGGGGACAGAACCCAGGAGTCTGGGCTCCCAGCCCCCCCAATCTCACTCACTTTTCAGGCGGCTCCGAATGTCTTTGGCCAGGTCCTTGATCTCCTCACGCAGTCTCTGCAGATCTCGCTTCATGCCTGGGGCAGATGGGGGGGGGGGGGGGAAGAAGATGTCAGATGTCAGCCAAGCCCCCCACCCACCCAGGGCCAATCCCAACCCCATCCCCAGATCTTTAAGGGGTCCCTAAGCCAAGCCTAGACCCATCCACTCCTGAGGGGAAGTTCAAGAGCCCCCTCCCCAAGAATGATCTAGGCAAAGCCCTCCACTCCCCAATGCTACCCAAAGAGCCCCCCTTCGCCTACCCTACCTATTCCCTCCCCCCGACCACCCCACATATTCCACCCACCAAACTGCTACCCGCACACCACCCCCCTTTTGCCAACCATACCTTTTCCAGACCTTCCCCATACAACGCCTCATGTTCCCCCCGCCCCCCCCCTCCAGATTCCCTATGCCCGCAGACCGCCCCATAAGCCTGGTCACATGCCCCTCCACATCTCCCCTTGTGTTCCCCTCTCACAAACTTCCCCAAACCCCCTTTCCCATCCTCCCCAACCCACCCTCCCAGTTCCCCTCTTCCCCCTCCACTCAACCAGACCCCCACAATACCCCACCTCACCTCCAGCTTCCTAACCCTGCCCCACACTTCCTCCTGAAAGCCCTCCCTTCCCAACACGGCCCCATACTCTTCCCTGGGACCCCCCCGCCCCAACCCAGACCACCCCCACTCTGCAGGGGACCCACAAACCATGCCCCTCTCCCCCAACCCAACCCTGCCACAGGGACCCAGAACTTGGCACAGGCCATGCATGATGCCATGTTACAAGCCACATGGGGGCTGGAAGGATTCCTGCACCCCAGCCGTGCACCCCTTCCCCCCAAGCTTACTGTCCTCCGGCAGCGGGGTGGCCAGAATCGTGGTCTGATGCTTTTCTAGATCCTTCACCTTCCCCTCCAGGGTCTTCAGCGCCTCACGGATCCCCCTGGCCTGCAGGAGTGGAAAATAGACAGAGATGAGACCACCTCGCAGCTCAGAGCAGCCACTCCCGTGCCCTGGGGCTGGATCAGAGCCAGCGCCCCCTACAGGGGAAAGGCCCCATGTCCCATTCCCCGCCCCCCCAGCCCAGAGCAGCCAGTCCCCAGCCCTGGGGCTGGATCAGAGCCAGCGACCCCTAGAGGGGAAAGGCCCCGTGTCCCATTCCCCACCCCTCTGGGCCAGCCACTCCCCCACTCTGGGACTGTACTGAAGCTGGTGCCCTCTGGAGCGCAGAGGCTGTGTTACCGTCTGGAAGAACTCGTCCACCGGCTCCCCTTCATCCTTGAACTTGGCCGATCCTGGCTTCACGACCAGGACCATCCGCTCGGCCTCCTCATCGTCTGAGCTCCCATCATCCTGTGGGGAGGGGGACATCAGGCACCGTACACAGACCCCCACTCTGCAGCCAGCTCCATCCTTCACACCTCACCCACCCCCCCCTGCCCCCCCCCCCCCCCCAGGCCCCCCCCCCCCCCCCCTCTTCCTGCCCCAGCCCCTATCAACACCCCACCCCGACCCCTGCCCTTCCACGCACACACCCCCAACCCAATCAGGGTGGATAAAAATTAATGATTTTTTTTTATTTAAATTGAATTTTTTTGATAAAATACTTCTTGAGGAAAAAACCTATCTAAAGATAGTTTTAATTAAGATATATCTTTGAGCTATAATGTCTCATCATGGAATAGGGATTATAAATTCTAATTCTATAGTAGGAGACAATATATTCATGTCATGTTTAAGAAAAGTTTTGTAAATGAGTTCCAATAGTTCATGGATTAGGGACCCAATCTTATGGGGTTCCACAGGCTTCTGTAGAGATTATTTGGGTTAATCTTTCTATCTACCCAATGGGACCCAGTGCTCAGTCGAGAAGATACCAGCAGAGATGCTTAGTTTTGCAGTTCTCAAACTGTGGATTTGTGTCTCCAGAGGTAACATACTTGTTAACAGCAAAAATGATTTTAAATAAATAAATAATATATAGAGGCGAGACATAACAGACCTCAACCCTATTGTCCCTCTGCAAATGTGTGTACACAGAGTCAATCCCTTACCTCTCTCTAAAAGTGCAAATTTTTTAAAAGTTCAATGAATAGAAGATTGTTGGGGGCGGAATAGATCTGGACAAGGAGAAGAAGTCTGGAGATAAATGTGAGAAGGGAGGGACAGGCAGTAGAAACAAAAGTGAAACTGTTTGAGCAGCATATTCCAGAAACCTTGAGGTCTTTCTGAGTGTAGCCTTCATTGATTTGAGATCTACCATACCATTCTCTCTCTAGAAGGGAAAACCTATAATGGCAGCAGGCCGTAAGAGACACCCAGTTTGGGTCTCATCTATCTCTGAGTTGTGAAGAATATGTATTGAGGTTATAACAACCAACAAGAATGCACTTGTATGTAGAAATCCATGATTAAATCAAGTCTTCCTGACTAGTGATTTAAATCAAATCCACCCTGACCCAATGCCCAACACTTTCCACCCTCCCCCACTATACATGCTCCACCCCAATCATAGAAGATCAGGGTTGGAAGGGACCTCAGGAGGTTCTAGTCCAACCCCCTGCCCAAAGCAGGACCAAGCCCCAGACAGATTTTTGCCCCAGATCCCTAAATGGCCCCCTCAAGGATTGAGCTCACAACCCTAGCAGGGACAAAGCAGAGACTTGAACCTGGGTTTCCCACATCGCAGGTACATACCCTAATCACTGGGCTACTCCCCGCCACCCACTCTGCCCCTCTTCCACTGGACGCGCCTCAGCCCCGATCTCCCTGCCCAATACCTGTGCCCTCTCCCCAACCTTCTCCTTGCTCCCCCTATTCCCTCTCCCCCACACCAATCCTCATGCCATCAATTCACTGGCTCCAGGTCCATGTCCTGGCCCCATCCCCACTCCCTCTAACCCCAGTTACACTAAAACCATTAACGCAGCAGCTGGGGAGCTCAGCAGGGGGCGCTCTCCCCTTGCAATCAGTGTAGGCTCCCTGGCTCTGCCGCAGATGCTCTGTGCAATTGGACACGGGGCTGCGTCTTTGGGCCTCAGTTTCCCCGTGTGTAAAATGGGGAGAATGATCCTGCCTTTGTCTGTTCGGA